CCCCAAAACCCCAAAACCCCAAAACCCCTGCTATTTAGCATTTGATTAAAGGAAATATAATTAAAATTAAATCATACTATTCAAAATTTATTATTCTAAAGATTAGATATCAGTAGTGTCATCAAGGCGTTATATTGATCTTAAAGAATAGACTTTCACTGACTCTTCCGCTCTCATCATTAATGTACAGAATAACCTCTTCTTACCCCACTCTATTCTATGGAGGTATATACAAATTAACATGCTTAGTCTCTTAGCTTTCAAACGGAATCTTCTCAACTCTTACTTCCATTACACTAGATTTCGATGATACGAATTCAATAGTCACAAATTCACTCAATGGGTTGGTATATGGGAATTTATATGGCGTGTGGCGACCAGCAGTCGTAGATATTTAGTAAGCTTTTTGAAGGTTAGGCTTATCAGCTTCAACTTGGAAAAGCCAAGCTTGAATCAACTCCTTGCTATTGACATCAACGCAATGAATTCTAGCTCTTTACACTCCACTGACCAAAGCTTTAACACCAATATTCATTGTGGTTAACTCATTCGGTTAAAGCATTAGGAGATTTCTTTCTTTTTTACCAGGTGGAAAGACTAGTCTTGGATTGGAACTAAATATTTCTATTGTTCTTTTCATTTAAGACCTCACTTAAAGTTGGCAAATGGTTTCTGGCCCTGCTGTCTAGAGCTTTTAACTAATACACACTAAGGAGAATATTTCTACTTTGCAGCATGCTAGTAATTGAGAGCAGTAGGCGTCAGAATAAAGATATATATAACTTTCTTGCTTTTTAGGGGCTTTATCTGTTTGTAAAGTAACTAGTATTCTATTATTATCTTAAGGAAGAATACTTGCCTTCATTGAATGATTTGAGGCCTTGGCAATCATTCCAGTTTAAAGCGAAAACGGCACAAAGTTTGGTATCTTAACACAAGTTTAAACAGATTAAGGTTCATAATATCTGAAAATCTAATCACAATACTGTTCTCTTGGCAGAATTTTAACTTCCAAAGTTGAGATTGTCATACCATCAGAGGAAACAACAGAGATTATGATTTTTCTCGGTTTTAAATCAGTCGGATCTATGCTCTGACTTGAGGCATTTATTGTGGAGTTATTATTCTTTTATTGCCTTACATTCATTATGCCCTCACTTACTGGCTCTCTGAATGAAATAAATTTGAACAGAAGTGGACATTGCTAGCCTGATCTAAGCATAAGCTCTTATTTATTGCTCACAATATCCCAAGCATCTGGTCTGTTACATTTACCTTCATTAAACCAGAACTGCCACTCTTTACTCTCATTATGAACTAACTGCATCTCTTCATCAATATTATTAACTCTCAATACTTAACTGTCTGGATCATGAATTTATACAAGAAAAACAACATCCTAAGGAAAAGGATTTTAAACAATAAGATGAACTAATGATGGCTAGCCAGGAGTAACTTCTACCTTTGATTTAGTAGCCATAGATTCCTTTAACACTTTTGTTAATAGATTAAACTTCCTTGTCTCCCTTAGTACCTCAATTTATTTCAAAGAATTATATTTATCCCATTCCTTAGCATGCGGATCAGAGAAAGTATTGAGGAGGTTTGATGTCTAAAGTTCATTGCCAACTGTTTATCTTTTTAGCCTTTCAACTCTCAGTTTTTTCCTAGCGTCCTCAGATTGATGCATCTGAGTCATATTTTACTTTGTGAATTCATAATTTTAAGCTAAAGACGATAATTAGCTGTCTATTGCTGCGGTATAGTTTTCAATGGGCTTTGAAAGTACTTTTTTCTTGTGCTTTATTGAACTTTGATTTGGTTAAACTGGTGATTTTTCTATATGAGGAATTTTCCTACCCTCATTAGTAATCAAAAGCTATAAACCACCAACATATAGACCATTATCTGGCTCACAAATATCAAACTACTGAGCTAGTATTTTAGAAGGTTCTCCCTACCTCATTATTGTATGAAGTGGTATTTTGCAGGTTCCATAATGCATTAGTGAATCTCCATTCCATAGATCTATAGTCAAAACTCTATCTTTTAGATATCTAGATAGATGTAAATCTTCATCAGGAACAGAACTTATTGAGGGATCAACATCAAAAATTAATTAGAGTGCTGACTATTAACTATTTATAGGTACTTATTGAGAAGGGTCAAGATTTTATTGCATTAATGCTTATAGCCTAACAAGGTAGTATTATGTCCCAAGCTTAATCTTTATGTTCTAATTTAGTTCAGATTGATTTTGCTTTATTATTTGCTGATTGTTTCCCTCCTCTTAAGGAAGTCTTAACACAACTTTCTCAGTTGACATACTTTTGAATGTAAAGAATTTGAAGGTGAAGAATAGCTTCTATGGAATCTAAACAGTGTTGTTGAATTGAACTGGAGTTTTTATTGCAACAAATTTGAATGATATAGTGCTTGCTTTATATAAATCATTCACTTCTAGTTCCATTCTAGGCTCACTTGCGAATAGCTTAGCCTCAGTTTCTGGATCTAGTAAATTCTTTCCAACTCCTAATCTGATTAAATTAACTTTATCCTATCTTGATAGCTCTTTACTTTGTAGAACTGCCACTCCTCCTTCAGATCCAAAGACATTCATTTTGTAGCTTTATTCACTCTTAAGCATGTCAAGCAAATTCTTTTTAGTGACTTCTTATCTTGATGAGTTGTACATATCTCCAACCATCATGTTATCTTCTCCTCCATAGTTTTGCATGACTATTTAGATCAAGAATCTCAATAAACTTGTGACTGTTTAATCACTTTGGTTTATCAAATTTTTAGGCACAGCATCTTCTCCTTATTTGAAACTTTTCATGACTTACTCTATCAACTCTTCTATTTCTTCATTTTTAGTTCTATAGTATTATTTAGCCTTTTCTATTTCTTGGTTATTTTGAGTTTGCTTCAAAATTATTTCCTCTTTTGGTTGCATGCTTTGCTGAAGTAACTCTTCTTTTTCTTTTTTTAGTCTCTCATTCTCCTCTTGAATTTATTTCAGAACATTGTCTTGCTCAGTCTTCTTCCTTTATTCTTACCCTTTCATCTTCTTTTCTGCCTTTTGTTGTGCTTACTTAATGATTAATTCCTCTTATTTCTTTTTCTCTGCTTCACTGATCATGTCCTCGCTAGTAGTCAATACTATAGCCATCTTTACAAATCTATCAAGAATAATTTTTAATGAATATTTTACAGTCTTCTCTCCTTTCTAACTAGAGATTAATCCCAGAGTACATCTCCAAGTAAAGTCAATCCTGGCCCTAGAATCAAATCTAATTAAACTTCCTCATCTAAAAGATTGTCTCCCTCCATATTAAGATTAGGAACACAGACACACCAGCCTAATACGAAATCCTTTGTTTCTTACTATCTGCTTGTGTTTGTGAATTAAACTATAATAAGATTATACAACAGATAATTCTTACCTCTATATTCCAATTTAAATACTAATCCAATTAATGGATGAATGGGGAAGTTTAACACTTTAAGAGCTCCACTGCTTTAAATTACACCCGATAACTCTTTATTTAAACTGACAAAGCTAGATGAACCAATAGCTCTCCAAGAATTATGAGGAACTACAGATAATCTCCTTTCCAAAATTTCTGATTGTAATTTCTATGGCTACTTCTGGCTTAGCTCCTAGCCTTCAACTTAGGATATCAGCATTTTCCAATCTTTTAAAAATAAAGAGAAGGACTACTCCACTTCATTCATGCTCGAAATTCTAATATTGTGAGCGTAAATTGTTCTTGGATTTGAGACTTTAAGTTTGAGATTTGCATCATCAATGTTTGGGGGAAGTTTAGATCCATCTATACCTGGGACATCATCATTTTAACCAACTAAGATATTTTCAGGTATTATGTTCAACATTTTCTCAAACTTTTTAAGTATCTATTGCTTGACATCGAAATAGAGAATACTTCCAGACGGTTAAGTCTAATAACTCGGGTCTTTGGCATTTTTGGCAACTTCTCTAGGAGTCCCTTTCATTATATCTACAGATACCGGAGGCTCGCCATAAAATAGAGGAATAACAGCATGGCCTAATCCAATTTGCCTTTGCACTTTCTTTTTTATATCATGCTCATTAATAACAACTTCAACTACTGCTTTAGTTTCTGTTGATTCTGCTTTTGTGTAAAATAGAACCCAGTCACTCTCGTTAGTAGTTATTTCTTAGTTCTCTTCTAATACATTCATCTTCATTTACCTTCCCTTGTAGGTCCTACCGAAAAATCCAACTGCGGGGTTGAAAAGAGTAATGTTAACTTGCAAATAAAATTCAAAATCAGCTAACACTCTTTTAGGTTAATTTAAATCACCTTCAGGCAGAGACTGATCCATGTATTTGGAAGAGAGTGGTGGAATTTTTATGTTAGCAATATGCTTGATATTCAAGTAGTAAAAGTTATTTGATGGATTCTCCTTTGGATTTTAAGAAGACAATTCTACATTAACATCTATTGATTAAAATGGCTTATGAAATTTGTAGAGCTGTGCCCATTAAGTAATATTTTTGCGTTGAATTGCATTTAGAATTGACATTTTATGAATTATTTAATTTCAATATAAATTCAAAATTACTTTATTTTATCTGTTTGGGGTTTTGGGGTTTTGGGGTTTTGGGG